TGCTACAACTACAGAGCTGAGTAGTTGTGAGAGCGACCATCTGGCCCAGAAGCCCAAAATATTTACTCCCTGGCCCTTTAATGTTTGCTGACCCTTGCACTAAGCCACCTCCCAGTATTTGAATTTTATTTTAGAAAAAAAGGGCAAAACAATGCTAATCATTTAATTAAAAGAGAACACTCCCAATTCTGTCCACCCACTCCCACCTACAAATCTGTATGCATTTGTACCCCTCCTCAGCTCCTTTTGTCTGTCTCAAAGAAAGATTTTCTTGGCGGGCTCAGGACTAATTTCCCAGCAGTGCTATGGTGGTCTCACGCCCTCCATCTCCTCCTGGACCCTTGCTCCAGCCATCACCCTCCATCTTCCTGATCTGCACTCATTCCCTCTCCAACAGCTCTTGGACCAATTTAAAATTAAAAAAAAAAAAAATCTCCAAGTCGTTCTCATTTGGGTCTTTCCTTGCTTTTTTCCCAGGGAAACTGATAATTCAATTATTGAGCCCCGTCCAGGAAAACTTTTATGGTGCCAGACCACAGAGAGCACTGCCAGGGTGCGGCAGTTCCTTCTATGGCCCTGGGGAGGACGCAGGTTTGGCAGGCACAGAAGTTCCTTCCTTCCTTCTTCCCTCGCCCCCTCCTCCTGTCCCTCCTTCCTCCCTCCCACATTTATCCAGTACCTATCACGTCCCAGGCACAGTCCTGGGTTTCGGAGCTCTGGCCTCAAGGTGTTCCCACATACCCCAGCGATCAGGAGCATGTGAGAGGTACGCGCAGAAGATGCCACGGGAGCAGAGGGGGTATCTACATCACGGGCTGGGGTGGAGCAGCAAAGCTCCCCTCCGGAGGTGATCATTGAGCTGACTTTAAAAGCTGAGGAGGAATTAGCTAGGTGAAGAGGAGGGAAAGGCATTCCAGACCCAAGGAACAGCATGTGAGGGGATACGGAGCCGGGAAACAGCTGTGTGAGCTCAGAGGCTACACGTGGGCGCACGCAGCTAAGGGATGCGCCGCCAGAGGCGGGAGGTGAGTGAGGACTGGCCTTGGGCACTAAGCTAAGGAAACCAGATTTGATCCTGAGAGCAGGAAAGACCCACTGAGCATCGGGCAGGGGAGTGACAGAGGCAGGAGCGCATTTTAGAAAGATCCCTGGCAGCCAGGAGGGGGACAGGGGGCAGCAGCGTGGGAAGCAGCTCATGGAGGACGCCCCCATCTCCACCCAACAAGCAGCAAATAAATGTGCACCGCAGGGCCTGCACTGTGCTAACTGCTCACCGTATGTGATCTCACTTCGAGTTTGCAATCATCCTGCAAAAGCGGAGGGACTGAAGCCTGGAGAGGTTGAGAAATCTGCTCCAGGTCACCAGCTAGTAAGTGGCACATATGGGATGCTAGGTGGGCTTTGACCCAGAGACTGAGCTCCTAGCCACTGCTCTACCCAGCCCGAGCTCCTAAGGCAAGAGCAGGGGGAACAGAGAGGAGGGGACAGAGTCAAGGGACCAGAGACGTTGACACTGGTAGCATCTGTTAAGACTCAGGGACCCAGCAGATAAGGGACACGGGAGTGGGTGAGGGTGCGAGAAGGGACGAGTCTGCAGTCCTGGCTGGCAGGGCAGGAAGCACAGCCGGAAGAGAAACAAGCGTGGATGGAGAGCGGGGCCGGGGGCTTGGGAGACTCCGTGAGGCTGAGGGTGAGCAGACTGGGATTGGGAATCGGGGCACCTGCATGACGCGAGGCTGTGGTCAGAGGGCCGTTGGGACCTGATGCAAACCCCACCAGCTGCCAGGAGAGGCGGGCTTCCCCTCCCTCTGCCCCCAGCTGCTAGGGCAGCACAGCCCTTCCAACAGTTTAGAATCTGTGAACATGTCTGCCTCCCCCTCTAAACTGAATGTGCTGAGGTCAGAGACTAGGTTGACTCAACTCCGTGCCCCGGTGCTGAGCCTAGTGCCTGCCCATGGCAAGAGCCAGAAGCTGCAGCCGGGCTAGGAGGATGGGTGCCAGGCAAGCCCCATCCCTTCCCCGGCCCCCATTTCCCTCTGTGCACCCATGAGTGACACCTGGCCTGCCTACCTGTCCAGGTCTCGAATATCACGTGACCTAAGTTATTGGATGATGATGGGAAAGTACGGTGCAAATTTGATGCTGATGTGGAAGCGAGCCTGGCTTCCCACTGACTGGTTTAAAGACTTGAGTGGTGGGAATTCCCTAGCAGTCCAGTGGTTAGGACTCGGCACTTTTGCTGCCGTGGACCCGGGTTCGATCCCTGGTCGGGGAACTAAGATCCCACAAGCCGTGCAATGCGGCCAAAAAAAAAAAAAAAAAGCCGGTGGCAATTGTAGAGCTTCCCTTCACACCATACAATACAAAAATCAAGGCAGGATGAAAGAGTTTTAGGCTAACCCTGCCCATGACATTCAAATGACCTAATGTGGTTTCATTAAAAGAGTTTATGATTTTTCCCCTCCAAAGGTTTACTTCCACTTATTAGGGAGAAGCCCTCACTGGAGCCAAAAAAGGAAAACGAGGACCGTTCCCACTGTTTCTGTTCCTCATGCAAACAGAAATGGCAGTTTTCCTTGAAGAAAACAGGCTGAGACCCAGCACAGAGCTTTAGATGGGAGGGAAGCGCTCTCCCCGAGTGGGCTGCCCTCCGTGGAGCTGGACCCTTTGAACTCCCCACGCGCTGGCCTTGAAGTCGAGAGGCCAGGACGCTGGGGTCAATCTCTCCGCCAGCTGTCACAACACATTTCACAGGAGTCACTTCAGTGAGTGTGATTGTCTTGTCTGCTCGGACTGGGTGGCTTCTAAGCAACACACATTTATTTCTCACTGTTCTGGGGGCTGCAAGTCCAAGACCAGGGTGCCTGCGTGTTCCGGCTCTAGGGGAGGGCCCTCTTCCGGCTTGTAGGCTACTGTACGTCCTCAGGGAAGCAGGAGGGAGCTCTCTGAGGTCCCTTTTATAAGGGCACCAGTCCCATTATGAGGGCTCTGCTCGTGACCTGATCACCCCCCAAAGGCCCCACCTTCTGATACCATCACATCGGGGCTGAGGATTCCAACCTATGAATCTGGGGGGGCGGGCGACACAAACATTCAGTCTGCAACAGTGACTGAGGTCTAAGGGACAAGATTCTGAGCCAGGATTGTGGCACTCCAAAGTGGACGCGAGAAGAAAGGCAGCCGTGGGGAGCGGAGGGTTCCGTGGCCAGTTGGGATGCGACCCGGCTCTATGTCCCCATCTGAAAAGGATGCCCCTCCTCTCACCATGAGGCCCTTTACCGTTTAGCACAGTGGGCTGGGCCCCCGTGGTCTCAGGTAAGACAGCAAACGCTCCATGACACAAGTAGCCTCCATAGCGGGGCCAGCGGTCCCTCCACAGGTCACCAGGGGACCTGGCAACTGAGCGTGAGTGGGTCAGTCCAAATCCCTCCCCACACCTGCCAGAACGCAGGTCCTCGTGACAGCTGAGCAGAAGTATTTCACGTTCCAGGGGCCCAAGCTGGAAGGCACATCACAGAGTCTGTAAGGCCCTTTAAGTTAGAGCTGGGACACCAAGATGCAGGGTGGAGGGGCAACGAGATCACACAGTCAGGCGCAGCACATTATTATACAGGTGCAGGGAGCACTGTCTTCAAGCAGGTGGGACCATTGTCTTAGTTGTGAGTCAACACAGGTTTCTCTGAGTTCGAGGTCCCATGAAGGGCAAAGCATTTGTGACGGTGAGTATTTATGTTTGAGTGTGAATGTGTGGTGTTCTGTGTGTGTAGCTGAATTGTTATGGGCTGAATTGTGTCCCCCCCAAATTCCTATGTGGAAGTCCTAACCCCCAGGACCTCAGAATGTGCTTGTCTTTGGACCCAGGGCCTTTAAAAAGGTGATTAAGGATAAATGAGGTCATTAGAGGGGCCCTAATCCAATATGACTGGTGTCCTTCTAAGAGGAAGAGACACAGACCCACACAGAGGGATGACCGTGTGAGGACACAGGGGGAAGGTGTCCCTGTACAAGCCAAGGAGAGAGGCCTCAGGAGAAACCAGACCTGCCAACACCTTGACCTTGGACTTCTAGGATCTAGAACTGTGAGAAAATAAACGTCTGCAGTTTAAGTCCTATAGTCTGTGGTATTTGTTACAGCAGCTGAGCAGACTAATACAGAGAACTAGCCTGAGGGGAAGACACAGTGCTGTGGATAGAGACTGGAGCTGGGGTAGAGCCAACCTCTTTGCAATCGGAAAGGGACAGATGGTTCAAACCAGCCGTCTGCCCAGGAAGGGTCTGCACCTCTCCCTCAAACTCTCCTGTACCATCTAAGCCTGTCAAAGGAAAGCAACCAAAATGGTGAAGACTGCCAAAATCTTTCCCCCTGAGGATGAGATGAAGTGTTTGGAGATCTTCATCTGAAGAAGAAAAGACTCAAAGAGGAGCAGGGACAGCCAGCAGAGTGGATAAGAGAACGGACTCCCGGCTACCTGCTTGGGTCTGAACCTGGGTTCTGCCATTTGCTAGCTGTGTGACCTTGGACAAGTTATCTAGCCTCTCTGTGCCACCGTTTCTGCATATGGAATATAGGGATGATAGCTGTACCTGCTTCCTAGTGTGGTAAGGATTACGTGAGTGAATATTTTTAACATGTTTAGAACCGAGCCTGGCACACAGACAGTGCTATCTAAGCACTAAATAGTAACAAAAATGTAATCGGGACAAGTGGGCATGGGATTAGATAAGAGCCCTGAGATGCAGGGCTGAAAACGGGGGCCAGTAGGAGACCAGAAAAGCAAGGGAGTCAATTCAAGGGAAGGAAGAATGTTCGAATAAGCAGAACTGTCTGAAGACAGACCAGCTCGCTTGGGGGCCATGAGCATCCTGTGGTCATGGCGGGAAGGATCCAGGCAGAGCCCGGCTGACACTGGCAGGACTTCTGTCAAGGGGATGCTGGACAGGAGGGCAGGCCTAGGCCTCCGGGACCCTCGCCCCACGTTCTCCTCCTCCGGGTGCCCTACCTTGTCCGAACTGAGCCGTCCGGTGCACGTCCTCGGCGTTGGGGAAGCCCAGCATGCGGCACACCACGTCTCCGTCCTTCTTGTCCCAGCCGTCATCGCACACGGTACCCCAGCGCCGCTCATGGTACACCTCCACGCGGCCCTGGTGTGGGCCCGAGCCATTCACCAGCCGGACCATCAGGGCCTCCATGCCACCTGCCGGGAGCAGCGCAGGGTCACGGGTCACTACCCGAGCTGGACATAGTGGGGCCCCGCCTGGGGACCCCCCCGACTCCCCGCCACCACCCGGCATAGGAGAGGGGAGCTGGGGCTACAGCTGAGGTGGAGCCAGCAGCCAGAAGAAACCGTGGTGTCACCCCTGCCCGTTATCACCCCTGCCCGTCTTCTCTCCACCTTTTTTTTTTAAATAGACTTTATTTTTTTTTAATAGTAAAATTGAGAAGGAGGTACAAATATTTCCCATAAACCTCCTATCCCCCCACCCCCCCATGCACAGCCCCCTTTGCCACTATCAACACCTCCACCACGGCGGTAATCTGTGAACCCACAATGACACGGCATGATCACCCAGAGTCAACAGTTTACACTAGGGTTCACTCTTGGTGTTGTCCATTCTATGCTTTGGGCAAATGTCTAATGACATGTCTCCATCATTACAGTGTCCTACAGGGCGGTTTCACTGCCCTAAAAAATCCCCTGTGTTCCACCTATTCACCTGCCACCCCACCTCCGAACCCCTGGCGACCACTGATCTTTCTCCCGTCTCCATAGTTTTGCCCTTCCCAGAATGTCATATACTTGGAATCATATGGTATGTAGTCTTTTCAGATTGGCCTTTTTCACTTAGTCATATGCATTTAATGCAATGTCTTGCATTGGCTTGATAGCGCCATTTCTTTCTAGCACTGAATAATATTCCATTGTCTGGATGTACCATAGTTTAGTTATCCATTCACCCACTGAAGGACCTCTTGGAAGGAATTATGAATAAAGCTGTCACAAACATTCCTGTGTAGACATAAGTTTTCAACTCATTTGGGTAAATACCAAGGAGCGGAATTGTTGGATTCCTCTCTACCTTTTGACACCTGGTGACCAGCACTCAGGCCTGCCGGAGCGGATGGTGAAGGGGAACAGAGGAAATCAAGGGATGGTCAAGGCTTTGTGAACAGGTGGCCCTGCTGTGTAGTTTAGTAGGTGCAGAGGTCCCCCTGTGTCTCAGCACAGGGCTGAGACACTGTGCTGAGTGTTGTGTTGTCTCTGTGCTGTCATCTGTGTCCACCTTCCCACTAGGCTGTCAGCACCAAAGTGTTTGAAGCCAGACAGACCTGGGTGTGAATTCTGGCTCTGTCCCTTACTACCTGTTAAGTGGGGGACAGCAATTCATCAAATCTTAAAAGCCGCTGTTGTGTAAGGCCCATCACTATTTTCCATGCTACTAAGAAGGAAGAAGCTTTGCCAGTTACAGTGGCAGGCTGTACATATTGCTACAGGCTTCCAGATTTCAGAGATGTTAAAATGTGTGTCACAGAATCAGTGAAATACAGCAATAGGTGTAAAGAGCTTAGAACGGCGCCTGGCACATACAAGACTCTTCTTTCTACCTGAACGACCTTAAGAAAGTGTTCTAGACTCTCTGAGGGCATTGCCCCACTGTGACATGGGGACAACGCATAGGGCTGTTTTGCAGACTAAGTGAAATGACCTGTGTTAAGGCTCTAAGCACGGTGCCTGGAACGTAGTAGGAAATAAGCAAGTCCTAGTTTGCAACCCCCGATCCCCATCTCTGATGGCTGAAGCCCTGTCACGTTCATCTATAAACTCTGTTCAGCACAGAGCTTGGCTGCAGGAAATGTACAGTAAACGTCTGCTACATCGATGAAAGAGTGAAGATTCATTCTTTTGCATTACAAAGCAAGGCGTTACTTCTCCAAGGGGAGCAGCTGAAAAAAGCCTTTGGATCATCTCAAAGATAGGGTTTGGCGGGAGAGTTACAGCGTCCGGGAGATACACACCGTTAGTGCCAGAGCTGGGATGGCAGCTTGGGTCTACCGATGTGTCATCTAAGGTCCTTTCGCCAACCTGTCTGCCATGCCATGAGTTGGGGTGGGGGGCAGGTATCTTCGCCCCTCAGGGACCTGAGCTTGACAAGATATTGGAGTGTTGCCACTTTTGCAGCCAGAAGCCGTCTGGACGTGTGGGGTGGAGACGGGTACAACTGTGCTGTGACACAGGGACAGGTGTGTGATACGATGCAGGAAAACCCTTCCACGAACTGCCAGCGAAAATAGCAAACCTGGACTTCCCTGGTGGCGCAGTGGTTAAGAATCCGCCTGCCAATGCAGGGGACGTGGGTTCAATCCCTGGTCCAGGAAGATCCCAATGGCAGGAGCTACTGAGCCCGTGCTCTAGAGCCCATGAGCCACGACTACCGAATCTGTATGCCACAACTACTGAAGCCCGCGTGCCTAGAGCCTGTGCTCCGCAACAAAGACAAGCCACTGTAATGAGAAGCCCGTGCGCCGCAATGAAGAGTAGCCCCCGCTTGCTGCAACTAGAGAAAGCCTGCGCGCAGCAACAAAGACCCAACGCAGCCAAAAATAAATAAATTAATTAATTTTTAAAAGTCCTTATCTTAAAAAAAAAAAAAAAGAAAGAAAATAGCAAACCCAGTCAAGTTCTGCTCCCGATAAGTACTGCACCCTTGGACTATGTTTTTGTCTTTCTTTTCTTGACCGGCTGGGCTAGGGGATTCCCTCTTCTAATGACTATGACTTGGCAAAGACCTTTTTTTTAAAAAAAAATAAATAAATTTATTTATTTATTTATTTTTGGCTGTGTTGGGTCTTCGTTGCTGCATGCGGGCTTTCTCTAGTTGCAGTGAGCAGGGGCTTCTCTTGTTGCAGCGCATGGGCTCTACGCACCCGGGCTTCAGTAATTGTGGCTTGTGGGCTCTAGAGCACAGGCTCAGGAGTTGTGGCATATGAGCTTAGTTGCTCCGCAGCATGTGGGACTTTCTCGGACCAGGGCTCGAACCCGTGTCCCCTGCATTGGCAGGTGGATTCTTAACCACTGCACCACTAGGGAAGTCCTGGCAAAGACCTTTATAGGATCCTGGAGGAGGTGGCGGAATTGATAAACCCCGTATCTGTGTCACATGGGAAAGGAGAGGAATTAGAACTGGCTGCGTGTCTGTTTTGAGTTGCCCAGGCTAGGAAAACCCCAGAATATTCTGCACAGGGGGACCACAGAAGTCCCCAGGAGACCACACCCCTCCCAAGATGCTGCAAGAGTACGGTGTGATGGCATGGAAAGGCTCCTGGAAAAGTTTAATTCCATTTTCTAGGCATCCTTCATCCCTGACTATTCTCCCCACGTGGGTTTGCATCCTTCATCCCTGACTAGTCTCCCCACGTGGGTTTACAAGCTCCAGCCAGGTTATCAGAAAAGGCTGAGGATAAGCAAGAGAGTGTAGGAATCCTGGAGACAGAAAACACAGAGAGAAGCAGGATGCAGAGGCCAGGTCTGAGACAGGGACGCTCCCCTGGGAGCAGTCATGACAAGCTAACCTGGAGCCAGCAGCAGCAAAGGAGGGCTGGCCCCGGGACAGGGGTTGGCCCTGGTGGGTTGACCGAGGCTGAGATGTCAGCCTTGATTTCTCCCAGGCCTGCCTCACCTCTGTCACCACACTGTCACGGTGGCAGTGGGCCACGCCAGGCCAGGAGGCCTCCAACAGCAGCCCCCGTGTGGGGTCATCAGTAGAGGGAGAAGGGGCAGGAGGATGCCGTGTGTCCCAGAGCAGGCCAAGCAGAGTTCAGGGTCAAAATAACAGGAAGAGGCTGCGTGGAGTGTGGGCAAACACGGCTGATGTTCAGAGCTTCCCCCTTAATGTCTCCACTCTGGCCAGCCTGAACTCACTCTGTTCACTTCTTTGTTTTGCCAAAAAAGTGATCATCTATTAGGGGCTTTGTCCTGTTCTAGGAGCTATGGAGACATCCATGAACAAAGTCTCTGCCCTCGTGGACTGATATTGTAGTGGGAGAGTCTAGCGATAAAGCTAGGAAACAAATAAAAATATAACTATGGCCACATAGTGATGCACAGATGGGAACAGAAGCACAGGAAGGGAATGGAACGTGGAGGGGGCGCCATCTTGGACGGGGAGACAAGGAAGGGAATGGATCGTGGGGGGGGCACCATCTTGGATGGGGAGACAAGGAAGGGAATGGATCGTGGCGGGGTCCATCCTGGATGGGGAGACAAGGAAGGGAATGGATCATGGTAGGGTCACCATCTTGGATGGGGAGGCAAGGAAGGGAATGGATCGTGGGGGGGGCATCATCTTGGACGGGGAGACAAGGAAGGCCTTGAGTGTTGACCTGAATGAGCAGAGGGAGAACATGGACCTCCCCCCACCCCCTATCTCAGAAAAACCCATGTCTGTACTCTGGCCTAAGATTTTCATGTCCTTTAAATCTCAGCTTGAATGTCACATCTCTCAGAAAGCCTTCTGTGGTTCCCCCATACCTGGCTACAGCCCCTTCTGTGGACATACTTATCACTCCATGTAATAATTTCCTGTTTACTCTTTTGGGACGCTGTAAGCATTCTGAAGACAGGTCATGTGGCCTGATACAGTGCCTGGTATATCAAGACGCCCAAGCTGGGCTAAACGAAGGCATGCACGAATGAATGCACTCAGATGGTATATACCCCAGTGGGCAAGTCCTGTCTAGTGGACACAGCTCCCCAGAGCCAACGGCTTTGGTGGGAGCCTGAGGAGAGTCAGCATCAGGGCTACTAGTGTTTCCAACACCCTCTTTATTACAGCACAGCCCCTTCTACTCAGTCCCCTCACTGATGGCTTCTTTCGGTGGGACAGTCCTGGATCCTGGACCCAGAATTCAAGTTATTGGTGCAATGACCATACATTCCAAATGAGAAAATAAGGCTGTGGTCTGTCATGTGGTTATAGTGAGTGCTGAGGGAAATCTGGAGAGCGGCACTTGGATGCTGAAATATTAGAATTCCCAGGAGGCTTCAGTGTATATGCAAGTGGCAAAAGAATATTTGGAAACAGATCAACTTCCAAAAATTGGAAACATATGGTAACCATAATTACGGGACACAGCGTCAGTCCTGGTCTATGCCCCATGCTCCCCACACATCAAGCTAGGTCATGGCCCCCATCAGTC